TAAAGAATAGAACAAAAAAATCCTCAGATTTGTATGGAAGCACAAAGGACCAAACCCTCAACCAACATTATATTTAATGGTGAAAATCTAAAAATCTTTCCTCTAAGATCATAAACAAGGCAAGGGTGTTGACTATTGCCACTGTTATTCAATATAACATTGGCAGTCTGAGCAAGTGCAATCGGACAAGAGAAAGATATAAACGACATCCGAATAGGAAACAGAGAAAAAAGAACAAGACTGGAGATATTACTCTGCCCAGCTTAAAATTATACTACAAAGCAACAGTAATTAAAACGGCATGGTATCAGCAGAAAAACAGACACATGGACCAGCGGAACAGAATTGAAAGTCCAGAAGTAAACCCCCATTTATATGGGCAAATAATTTTCAATAAAGGAACTAAAAACATACAATAAAGAAACAATAAGCAAATACAGTAAAGTCTCTGGATGGAAAATCAACGTTCAAAACCCATAGCGTTCGTATACTCTAATAATTGTCAAAAAGAATAAAACTAGGCTGTTGTCTATCACCACAGACCCAGATTAGCTCAAAATGGATTAAGTACCTGAATATAAGACTGGAAAAGTGGAAAAAATAATTCCTTTTACAATTGCAACAAAATCAATAAAATATCTAGGAATAAATTTAACAAAACATGTGAAGGACCTATATAATGAAAACTACAAGACCCTATTAAAAGAAATAGAAGAAGATACAAAGAAATGGAAAGATATTCCATGTTCATGGATTGGAACTACTGTCAAACTAAAAATCTTCTGCACAGCAAAAGAAACTGTCGACAAGACAGAGATGACCATCCAAATGGGAAAATACATTTGCAAGCAACGCCTCCGATAAGGACTTAAAATCCAAAATATACAAAGAACTCACACAACTAAATAATAACAAAAACCAAACAATCCAATTAAAAAATGGGCAGAAGACCTGAACAGACACTTCTCTCAAGAAGACATACAGATGGCCAACAAACATATGAAAAAATGCTCAACTATGCTAGCTATTAGGGAAATGCAAATCCAAACCACAATGAGATACCATCTCATACCTGTTAGAATGGCTGTTACCAACAGGACAAGTAATAATGAATGTTAGAGAAGATGTATAACCCATATTTATATGGGTAAATAATTTTCGACAAAGAAGCCAAAAACATAGAAGAAAGAAAAGCCTCTTTAATAAATGATGCTGGTAAATTTGGAAAGCTATCTGCAAAAGAATGAACCTAGACTGTTGTCTATCACCACACACCAAAATTAACTCAAAATGGATTAAAGACTTGAAAC